CATTTCCCAGACCCAGCAAGTCGAGGCTTGGCTGGCCCTTGCCTGGTGGGCTTGGTCAGCCCTCCCTGGGTGCTCAGCCTTGGTTCTGCTGCATGGACACCCACCCCCCCCCACCCTGGGCTGCTCTTCTTTGTCACCAGGTAGGGTGGTGGGCCGGCCGGGTGCCTCCTGACAACTCCCAGGAAGGGAGTCCCCACGTGCTAAGGGGTCCATCAGGGGCCCCAGGTCATCAGGTCACCCACAGTGGCCTGGTGAGAGGAGCCAGGGTCAGCCTAGGCCCCAGGCAGGAAAGTCCAGCCAGCTGTGGGTCCTCTTGCTCAGGCTGGGAGGAGGGCCGGAGGGAAGAGGTCAGGGAAGTGGGCAGGCTGGGAGGGCGGCCTGGTCTCGGGCGGAGGGCTGGGCCTTCCCCGGTGCCGTTGAACGGGGCTGTGCTCCCTCTCTGAGGTCCTCAGCCCCGTGGCCCTGCGTGGCATTTGGGTTGGTCTGAGGGTGGCTGGGGTGGGGGCCTGCAGGTTTCCCTCGGGCCTGGCGGACACCCATCCTTGGGCTGAGCCTGAGTGGTGGAGGGCAGCTGGGCCTCTGCCTCTGCTCTGTTCCCCTCTGGGCCTGGGGAAGGGGCATCCCTGCCTGGTGGGGATTGCAGAGGCCACAGGGCTTGGGGGTGCCAAGCTCCTGGGGGGAAGAGCTGCCGGGGGAGTGGCCCCTGTGGGTGGAGAAGGCTGCCTGGTCCCCTGGGCCACTTCGCAGGCCATGGCCACCCTGCCCAAGGGAGTCTCCAGGGTTTCTTTACGGGATTCCTCTGCCTTTGGGGGCTCGGTCCTAGCCTGCGGTCCCACTGCCCTCCTGGTGTCAGACCCAGCACCAGGAGCCTCGGTGCTCTGGCCCTCTGTGGGGCCTGGGTGTCTGCCCTCGTCCCCAGAGCCTGGAAAGCACAGAACATCTGCTGGCAGCCCAGGTGGCCCCGTGCTCAGGCTGAGTAGCCAGGCTTGGAGTCACAGAGAAGTAGGGGTCCCAAGGAAGGAGCTGCAGACCCGTCCAGAGAAGGGTCCCTGACAGTGGCTGGCTCAGAGCCCAGTGCTGCTGTGTGGAATGTGGACCCAGAGGGAGCTTGGTGCTCGGGACCCTGCCTTACAAGGAGTGGGAGGGGAGGGTGAGTCCCCAGCTCCCGGGCCTGGCCTCCGGAGAAGGCTTGTTTCCTGGTGGGAACTGCAGCCTTTGGGGCTCTGGCCACGGCCCCTTCTCGTTCCCTGAGTGGCTCTCAGCCTTGCCTGCAGGCCATGTGCCTGGGAGGCTACCTCCTGCCCTGAGGGAAGGGGGTACGAGGGGAGGGTGGGAGCCACTGTCCCCTATCCTGGGTGGGCCATGGTGATGCAGGTCCCTTGGAATTGGGGTGTCAAGTCAGCCAGCTGTGACACCTGATTCCCTGTCAGGGCACAGGGAAGGGGGGACTCTAGCTGGTCCCTGATCCTTGGCTGGCCTCTGTCCTGAGGGAACACTGCTCAGGGCAGAGGTCCATGCAGAGTGCCCTACCCAGGGCCTGATCCCGCCTCTTGACTCCTGGGGACTCCCATGTCACACCTCTTCCAGGCCCTGCCACTCTTGGTATCCTTCCCCTGGCAGTTCACCATGGCTGAGGGGGACCAGCCTCTTTCTGTCCCCAGAGTCTGGACTGGCCCTGGCTGGCCCTGGCTGTTCATCCTGGGCTGTTTGCCTTGGAGATGTCTCTGTCACCAGCACAGGGGGAGGGGTGTACCCCCAACAGGAGCCTTGTGGCATCTAACTGTGTGGAGGGGCTTGCAGGGCACGGCGGGCTTGAGTCTGGGGTCACTGCCAGGAGGGGTACTACCTGGTGGGGCTCCAGCCCTGCGACTGGGCAGTGGCTCTTTGAGGTGGGTCCTGTGGCCTCTTCCTCATCTGCCTCACCCCTGGGGGCTCCGAGGCTCACAAGTGCCTGCCAAGGCCATGGCGGGCCCCTCAGATCCCGGCCCCCATTCATACCAGGTAGCTGACCTGAGGACCCCATCGTGGCACCCACTTTGAGTGGACACCCTGACCTTGGGTAATGGGCCTCCTCCTGCCCCCTCAGGATGCCCGTGGCTGCTGGCCGGGTTAGCTGAGGGCATGGTCTTTGGGGCCCTCGCCCAGGCTGCTGGCTGCTGGGTACTAATGACAACTGTGGAGTTGCTGCCTCTAATCAAGGACCCCTGTGATGGGGCCAGAGCGGGTCTGGAGGGGTCTGGGCACCCCTCCCTCTGTACCAAGGCCCCTGAGACGTGGGGTGTGGCTCTGTCTGAGAGCTGCTGTTGGTGGACATGGAGGTGAAAGTCACGGTGGCACGCGTGCTTCGGTGGTGTTGGCACATCCTCTGTGCAGTGTCACCGTCCCCTCTGTCTACTCCCAGAGTGTTTGCATCATGCAGACCCCGCCCATCACCCTCACTCCCAGCCTGGGCCAGGTTCCTTCTGGACGTGCGCTGAAGAGTCGTGTGGTATGTGATCTTCCACGACTGGCTTTGTGCACTTGGCGTGGTCTGAGGGATTCTCCGGGGAACGTGCTGCGTGTGGGGACAGGGGGATCTGCGGGGGGCTGAGTGTGTGTTCAGGGAGGCGGAGGTGAGGGAGCGCCTAGAGGCAGCTGGCGAGGGCAGCTCGAGGGTCTTTGGGCAGTCACCCTTGGCCACGGGATGAACAAGGCCAGTCCAGCCTGAGGTCTGGGAGGGTAGTCACCGGGCAGCGGGCCTGTGCGGGGGCCTCTGCTTGTTGTTATCCGGTCCTCTCCATCACCACCCCTAGCTGTGTGTTTTAGGGCTTGACACGAGCAACTCCATTTTGTTGGAGTTAAGCCAAAGAAGTTGGAAATCTTGCCCTCCAGGGGCTCACGTTCTGGGGGGATCAGGCGATGGACAGAGCACGTGCATAGGTGCCCCGGGGGGAAGGATGGGTCTCCAAAGGTGTGTGGGGTTGGGGTGCAGGTGGCAAACCCCACTGAGCAGGGAACTTTGAACTGAAGTGCAGTGTGGGGCCTTCCATGACCGACCCCTGCGCATGCCCGCTCTCCCTCTCTGTTCCTTCCCCGTGCCCTGATGGCAGCTGGGCTTCCTTCTGTGTCCCCACCCTACCAGCCCATGCTTGGCAGAGAGAACCCGTGGCCCTGCCTGCTCCCTGGCCCCCAGCGTGGGCTGAGGACTGCCACTTCCTGGGGTGGGGCTCCGGGAGGGCTGTTCTGGCTCCTGTCCTGGAGGATTTCCTGTGGCCCCCCGCGGCCTGGGCCAGGCACCAGCCCATCCCTGCCCTGGGGCTGGCATGCACATCTGGGCACATCACCCAGAGCAGAGTCACAGGGCTGCGGGCTCTCAGAGCAGGGCTCAGCCCATCCCAGGAGTGGGGTGCCCAGCATGGATACGCCTAGGCAGGAGAAGAGGGGCACCCCAGCAGCTCTGGCGGTGACAGGGCAGAAGGTTTCATCCTGAGTACCAGGCCTGTGGCCCCAACGGTGCCGTGCCAGGCTGAGGACTTCTCCTGTGGGCAAGGGGAACCCTGAGGCTGTGGCCTGCAGCCTCTCACCCTGGTGCCCCCCAGGATCGTGGCAGGGCCCCGTGAGGTTGTCCTGCCCTGATGGAGTTGCTCAGTGCTCCAGCGGCCTGCAGGAGCCCGGCCGTGCCAGCACTGTGAGATGACTTTCAGGGTCCCTGACCTCGCCCACCTGGCCACTTGCCTTCTGTGGCTGCCTGAATGTCAGGACAGGCCCCTTCCAGGCTGCTGGGCTGGCCTCTGGGCTGCCTCCCCAGGCGGGGCCATGGAACCCTCCCTGAGCACCCGGCTCTGACCCCTGTGCCGAGTCCTCTGTCTCGCCCTGCGGAACTCTCTAGGAATTCCCAGGAATTCCCACTGTTAACCTCTGAGGCTGGGCTGGCGGCTTGTCTCAGCCACCAGAGACTACTGCCTGCTCTCTGGGCCACAGCTTTTCTCACGGGATTGTGGCCATCCCTGAGACCCTTAGCCCAGCCGGGGGGCTTCCAGGGACCCCTCTGAGGAGGTGCAGAGAGAGATGCCAGGCCCGGGGGGAGCCTGGGGCTGGGTCAGGCCTGGGACCCAGCTGGTACCCAGCTCCGTGTGCTTCTCATGTGTGTCCAGGAGGGGTCTGGCTCACCCGCCAGAGCAGCACCTGAGGAGAGGGCACATGCCTGGCCATCTGGCCATCTGTGCTTGGGGCGAGTCAGGGTCCCCACTTGCTCTGAGCCCCGCTCCAGGTTATGTGTCCCATATAGCCAGGGGGAACCGGGGACTCTGGCATCTAGAGGTGGGTGGGCAGGAGTACCTGGACCTTGTGTTGGGCAGGTCTACACAGGTGTGAAGTGTCCTAGGGACACCTGACTTTCCCTGAGAGCAGTCTTGGTCCCCTAGCCCCTGACTGGCTGAGTCAGAGGTGTGGGGAGGCAGTGGTGCGCCCCTGCCCAGGACTGAGTCCCTGCATCCCTGCCAGACAGGTACCTGCTGTGGAGGCTCTGTCCACCTCTGCACCTGCACAGGCAGGAAGAGTGGGGGTTCTGCAGCAGGCGGCCGGGCTGCGTGTCACGGCTCTTGGCCTGTCCCAGGTCTGACCCAAGGCCCCGTGAGTCTAACTGACCCATGAGGGGAGGCTGGGCCTGGAGCTCTCATGATGGGTCCCAGGCAGCTGTGAGGGTGATCGTGGGGGACCCCTCCTGGCCTCCGAGATGAGGGCAGCTTGGTTTCCCTGGAGAACCTGAAGCTGCAGCCGACAGCTTGAGCAGACCCCCAGGCTGCTTTCTGGGGTTCAGACCCCGTGTGGCTGCTCTTATGGGGCAGACCTCCTCTGCCAAGCTGCCCAGATGGCACCTGCAAACACGTTGCGTCCGAGTGTGTTCCCTGTTGGGCAGTGTGGCTCAGGCCGCACAGTGGGTCCCCCGTGAGGCCTGCCTCGCTGGACAATGTGCTCCGAGGCCCGGGGACCCTGAGCTTCTTTGGCTTCTCCCCTTGCAGATGTGGACGAGTGCACCAGTGCCAACGGGGGCTGTGAGGGCCTGTGCTGCAACACGGTGGGCGGCTTCTACTGCCGCTGCCCCCCTGGACACCAGCTGCAGGGTGACGGCAAGACCTGCCAAGGTAGGGAGGACTCGTCCCACCGCCACCCCAGCTACCACGTTCCGGCCCCAGCTCACCCGCGAGGCTCCGCCTTCCCAGCCCCAGGCTGCTCTGGTGGGGGGACTTGAGGACCCTCAGGGTGTTCCTTACCCCCATGTGCACCTCACAGTCTAATCTCCACCCCCCAAACTGCCTCAGGGGACTCAGAACCTGATGTTGGCGGGAGGCACCCTGGGGCTGTGCAGGGGGAGGGAGGGGCTGCACAGGGAGCCACGTGCCCGGCTGTGTGGGGAGGCACGGTGGGCGCCTTGCCTGGCAAGGATCTCAGAGGCCCAGGGCTGGAAGTGCTCGCCAGCACTGGGCGGCCCCTGCCACCCCCCCCCCCCCCCAGCGCTGGCAATCTGTCAGTAAAATCAAGACCGGACAGAAAGATCCCTGAGAAACAGGATGGAGGCAGGGAGAGGGGCCCCGAGCTCCCGCTCCCCGCCTGCCGCTCCCTCCATGGCCTGCTCTAGCCTGACTCTGGGATGCGTGGGGCAGCTTGGCCCTCGCAGAGGGTCTCTGAGCACAGGTCAGCGGGCCCCAGCCCTGCTCTCCCCGGCAGGCTGGTCTCTAACATCCTCAGCTGAGCTCCACACTGTCTCCAGCTGCGCTCCCGCAAGCTGCCTGTCCAAGGGTGGAGGCCAGGCTGATGGACTGGGGGTCGGGGGAGACAGGAGAGGCTGCCTTCTGGGATGTTCTGGGAACGTGGACTTCCGGGTGCTCCTTGATGTCACGTTCTTGTGGCCAGCAGGGCTGGGGAAGGGGAGAAGCTGCTGTGACCTCCCTGCTCACACTCCACCCTGGGGACCCGCCGGGCCTTGGGGGAACCCAGGGTTCTGGACACAGGGAGGAAAGGAGATGGCCTCAGCCATGCATTCTCCACCAGCTCCCAGAAACCCACCTGCCCCGGCCTGTGTCTTGGTTTCCCCTTCTTGAAATGGACTCCATTGGGGTGACATTAAAGCCCCCAAGGTCCAAACCTCAGGATAGGGGGAGTGCTGGTGGAGTTGTCAAGGAGCATCTCCCCCAAAATCCAGGGTGAGGAGGGGTTGCCTGGCTGCCGTGCCCCAAGTTTGGCTTGTCCACCTGGCGCCCCTGCATGTAGCAGGTCTGAAAGGAGCTACAGCCCTGGGCGGGAGGTTCCGGGACAGGTGGGAGGCGGGAGGGGGTGGGGTTCAGGATGGTGCTTGTGTTTCTCCACCTGGACTGACCAGGCAGCCAGCCCCTCCAAGATGATGTCCTCCTCCAGGAGACTCTGCCTGTCCCCTAATCTCCCAGAGTTTCTCCCCCTCTCTGGGCTTAGGGCCAAACCCTTGCCTGGCCTCTGGCATTGTGGGTGGCTCATGATTTGAGCGGATCTCACACCCACCCTGGGAGCAGCCCTCCCCTCCTCGCCTGGTGTTGCCTGGCAGGCCTGGGCCAGGGGCTGGGAGTCACTGTTGGGGCAGCACCCAGGACCCCAGTGGGCATGGACTCCTCTGGTGTAACTGACGGACTCTTTGTGGGGTCAGGGATAACCAGCTCCCGTCAGCCAGAGGGCTGGGCAATTTCCTATACCTGCCAAGGGTCTCGAATGCTCCCTTGGATGTGGTAAGAGCCTGGCCCTAGGTGGGCTCCCTCCCGGCTCTGCGGTGAACTGGGGAGTGTCAGTACTGCTCCACCGCTGCCTCCCAGCTGAGGGTGGAATCGGGCCCTGGCCCTGCAGCCCCCCAGGTCGGGCTGGCCTGGTTTCCGTAGGGCCTGCTCACTGCACCTGGGCCGAGGGGGTCTGACACCTGGATTCTTGATGGTGCCCAGGAAGCTAGACTGGGGCTGAGCCAGGCCTGGGGCAGGGGTTGCCCAAGGTGTCCTCATACCCTTGGTGAGAAACCAGGCAGAGCATGAGACGGAGGCCCTGCGGGGGAGTGAGAGGGCCTGGACCCTGGGAAGCTCCACTCTGAAGGTCAGGTTCCTGGCTGGCTCCAGGGCTGGGGGCAGACCAGTCCCTGGGTGTCCAGCCAGCTTCTGGCCTGGCCCACCGATCCTTCCCTGCAGTCGGTGCCTGTCTCAGGCAGATGCTTGGGCTCTTGCTGTCTCCCAGGTGTGGCAGTTACTGGACTGCTGTCTAGGGTCCCTCCTGGGAAGAGCTCCTGGCCTCGGCTGGCCCATCACAGTGGGTGGAGGGGCCTCAGACCCGACACAGGGACCTCGCTCTGGGCTTGAGAGTCCATGTCAAGGAGGAAGATGGTTCCCAGGGGCCAGGGCCTGTCTGTCCCGAGCTGGGCTCCAGGCTCCAGGAGGCTGTTCTGCAGGGCTGAGGTGGCGAACCTGTGCCTCTGCCTTCCCTGATTCTCTGGGTGGGTTCCTGGGCAGGTGTGTTGAGGCCTGGGAAAGGGGGTCCCGAGGGCCTGTGGCCCCCAGACTCAGAGCTGCTCTCTCCAGCCTGCCTGTGTCTGTTTCCTGATTCTGCGAGGCGGGTGGAGATGAGGCCCTCCTAGAACAGAGCTGTTCCCGTGGTGGGTAGGCTTCCCCAGACCCTACTCTCAGAAGCTGGGGGGTTGTGACCTGCTCTGGGGCTGCTGTCCTGTGTTGACGACCATTCACAAGTGGTTGGCTCTGGGTATAGCTCCACCAGGGCTGAGCGCAGTGTCAGCAAGCAGATCCACCTGGCTTCTGCCTGAGCTGCTCAGGAGGCCTCGGTGTCTCTGTTGGGGGTCCCTAAGGACAGGCCGGTTCTCGCCATCCCGCAGAGTTGGCTGGAGGCAGGGTCATGGACCAGGTGGTCAGGGGCCCAGGTGGGAGGCTGCTTGGTGTCTCAGCCAGGGATCCGGCCTCAGACCCCCGCACTGGCCTCCCACCCCCACGACTGCCCCTTGCCTGGCCCCGGTCCCCCGAGAGTCTGCTGCCCCAGCTCTGCGTGTTTGGGATGGCTGTGGCTCCGAGTCACCATGTGGCTGAGGAGGCCCTGCTGAGAGCCAAGAGCCTGCTGTTTTCTCTGTCCCCCTGCCAGCCTCCCTCCCCTGAAATTGCGGCTCTGGAGAGCAAGTGCGAAGGAGGCTCGGGGACGGCCGCTGCCTGTGTGAGGGCAGGCCCTGGGAAACCGAGACGTCTCCAGAGGGGCTCAGCGCTGCCTGCTCACACGTAGGGCGGTGTGCACGAGTTGATGGCGGGGCCCAGAAACTGCTCAGCGTGATGAATTGACTCTGTAAACCCCGAGTGCTGGCACGGCAGCCTGGGTGTCTGGGTCCTCGCCCGGAACCCTCTCCAGGCCATGTGTCATGTTCTAGGAGACCATCCTGGAGCCAGAGTGAGTTCACTTGGCTGGACTGGGTGACCTGAGTGGGCGCATCTCCCAGCTAGGTGGACGCCAGCTGTGGCTTCCGCTTCCTGGGCAGGGTGTGGCCTCTGACCCGTGCCAGCCCTTATGAGCAGGTGGACTCTGGCTGGCACCTGAGAGGACAGGCAGGCTCTGGGGAGAAACGTAGGCTCTGCTGTGAAGGTCCTTTCTGGGTTGCCCCAGGGCCAGAGTGGCTTTGGCTTCCTGTTTAAGTCCCTCTAGAAAGACCACCCCAGGGGTAGGCTGAGTTTGAGGCTCCACATCGGTCCTCACTGTGTGGCCTTGGGTGAATAACTCCACTACTCTGAACCTCAGTCTCCGTCTGTAAAGTAGGACAAACGATGCTGTCACCTCTTGGTGCTCCAGAGGATTTGGAGGAACTTCCCTGAGGCCTGTGGCCCTACGCCTGCTGGTGGCAATACTCCCTGGAGTGGGCAGTGGGTGGACAGAAGAGCTGCCCCTCCTGAGCCCGGCCCCCCACCAGCCTTGGCATTCCCTTGGCTGAGACTCTTGGGAGCAGGATCCTCCAGGGACCTCGATCCCACACAGGGGTGGTCAGCACTCTCCCTGGGGTGCAGGGGACCGCAGCAGGTCTCTGGGCAAGCCCCAGGCCCTCGGGGTCCCTCAGGTCACTCCCTCCCCCCTCTGCCTCTGGTCTGTAGTCCTGTCCGTCTGAGAAATCCACGTTTCCAGGTGGGAGAAACCAGGGTCGGCCCGTGGAGGGAACAGGAGTCTCAGGGGCCCTTGGTCTCCACGGCTGGGTGGGCTTCCCCCGTCCAGGCCGGCAGGCCAGCCTTCCCACGCTGGGGTGGGATTCTGCCCTGAGACTGCCCTGCTGTTCCAGCCCCAGCTGACCTTGCTCCTGCCAGGAGATAAGGAGGCCTGGGAGGGGACAGCCAGTGGCTGCGGTGTGGGGGCTGGGCAGGGGCTTTCTCACGGGAAATTGCCGGCTCTTCTGGGGGAGTCCAGGTCTGCTGACCCCTGCCCCTCTACAGCTCAGCTGCAAGGGCTTCCTGGGTAAAGTTGTGGTCCTCACTTGAGTGAAGAGCCCAGAGGACACTGTGATGTCCTCCTCGAGGAGACTTGGCCTCCCAGTGTTCCCAGGGAGTCAGGCCCTGGGCTGTCGCTGGGCTCTATCCTGGCTCCCTCACACCCGCCAGGCCTCGCTGTCCCCAGGGAGGGAAAAGAATGTGGGAAGGGACCTGAGCCTCTGATTAGGAAGCCCCAGGGCTGGCCAGCAGCTGACCCGGGCCAGCTGTGCTGTCCTCCGCCATGCCTGGGTAGGAGAGAGGCAAGAGAAGCCAATTCAAACCCTCGTCCTGCCACCGGGGCAGGGGTCTGGCACCTCGGGTGGCCAGGTGTCTGCAGCTCGGGGCCCTGGGAGGGGGAGCTCTCTCTGCCTGCCTGCCCGCCTGCTGGGAAGAGACCAATCTCCCGGCACCGCAGCTCTCCTGCAGGAGTCTCCAACGCCTCCGTGCCGGGAGGACTTTCACCCTCCCTGGGGTACGCTGGCCTTGATGGACCCAAAGGGCCGTCCTCATGACCAAGAGAGAGCCCGCTGTGCCGAGCTCCTGGCTGCTGTGTGGCTCCCATGTTTTCAAGTGGCCCAGAGAAGGGCGGCAGTGGATACAGAGGTCCAGGCAGGGGTCGGGGGAAGGACAGC